GACATTTCGAACAATGATAGTTAAGGATTACTGGAGCGTATGAAAAAGAATGTCAAATCATTCCTTGCGGAAAGTTTCAGAACCTGAGTAAGAATTAGAGCATCGGGACATTCGAATACAAACAAACAAAACGATAATGATATAACTGTCAGAAACGTTCATTAACGCGAGACTGGTAAAAGCCAAGTAACCCATAGCACATACTGGAAAATAAATGATAAATGTAAGACAACAGTAAAAACTAATTTAATAAATAAAATTAGAAGATCTATAACACATTAACTAAAGATCGTAACTGCATACCTTTGAAGTACCCAACAAACACGCGCGAATCCTGCAGCACCACTCGCATCCTATAGTTGATGTGCAGCATCATCTTGTTATTCTTGCTGATTGTCTAAAATAGGCATTCGAAAAAATTTTGTTATACACCATCCCTCTTATATACGAACCATTTTTGCTTTGAGCTTTTTCGAGAAACCAAAAAAAAATTCAACCACACTACACCCAACGAACAGAATATAAATTTCTTATATCAAAATGATTGATACTGAACTTGCAAATCACATCTTGCACCATCAACTATAATGCTTACTTATCTAACCTGCATAAAGGTCGACATGAGATATAAAAAAGTTATTCCGATGTTAGACTTGACATTATCAGTAGAGTTACCTTCTTTCAAATTTTATTATTAGATTTTTTTATTAGTCGGCTACTTATTCTGATGACAGGTTCTGATGACAGGTACTTTTATTTGTCAGATAAACGGGACAATGAAATATTTCACGTTTTAACTTCTAAATTTGTATTACATTCGCTTTGTCAATGAAAAGTTGTCTTCAGAGTATAGTTTTTTATTCCATGTTAAGCTTGTTATTTTCATTAACTTCCAAGCATTCACGGCAGTAATAAACACAATTATTTGTGCTATATTCTCCGTGCTAAACTTTCAGCCAATTAAATATAATGAAACTCAGCTTATATGATGTAGTTGTTCGCTTTCCATTAAAGTGACGGCGCTGGTGCAGTCGATGACCGTCAGCAGCCGTTAGACTTGTGCTATATGGAGTAATTTGGGCGTACACGTGCTGAATGGAGTGGAGAGGATTGATGGACTCGGTTTAGCATATGGAGTGGATTACCTTATGTGTAGTAAGTTCTCATCGTAATATGTTGCGGTTTTGTATTATGTACATGTTAATGTTTCATTCATTCGTAACATGTTTTGTTCACTCGGTTGGTCATCGCTGTTATTGCGTGCCATCATCACCATGTGTAATGATGTCTATCATCACTTTCCTAAAAAATGACGGCCCTGCGTCACGCAAGTTGTCTTCAGCAACGTTCACTGAATGGCCTAGATTAGACCGAATGGATGGAATTCTGGTTAGAGTGGTTGATGGATGGAGATCCTTTCACGCGATGAAGCAGACTAAAATAGCTGTAGCAAGTTTGTACTGTGATATGATGATGTTCTGTGAATTCAATCAGTGGGCCGTTGTTGTTCTTGCGTCCGTTATGATTACACGTATTGCAATAATTCTTTGCTTCAGTTGTGGTATGTATTTAGCAGTAATGTAGCTTGAAAAATCGTTGTTTCCATTAAATTTTACTCATTCATAAATTTAGTTCTGGTTGCCGACCAAAGAATCTGTCAGATATAACTACATGTTCACATATACACTCTTGATTTTTTGACCGAACGCCAAACCCTTAGACCTTTTAGTCAAACTTACTGAATTATTAAATTGCTTGCGAATTTCAATGCTAGGGTCAAGTTATAACATTATCGGCCAGCTGTACCGGCGAAGTCAGTTCGCATCTGAAACGGATGCATTTAACAACCACCATACAGTCCATTTATCATTAATGACGTTACAATGCCGACAGATCTAAAGGTGAGACGATGAAATCGTGACACGCAGCGGATTGTTAACATTGATTGCTCGGGTATTCTGCGTATGCCATTCGGAATTATTGACCTCTTTGGTGAACTACGCGAACTGATTGATTTCATTGAACATATGCAGTCGCTTTATAAAGCGAATAATTGACAAACCATGTGATTTGATTTATTTAAGCATTAGTTTCTTTAGGAATGTAAATTTCAAGCCTTCATGCATGTTCTCATGACGATTTTAATAGCAACCGAGAATAGTTTGACTAACTAACGTTAGTTTGCAACTGGTGGAGCCAAATTTCTTACGATATAAATTTAGATTAATATGCTTCTTACTTTGCATGTGTATAAAATTTTATGCATATAATTCTGATAATGGGTGCTTGTTTCGCTGCGTGTTTTCGATGCAGCACTAAAACTTTCTTAGTTTCAATCAAATATACCTTAATTTACATTGGAAAACCGATAGAGGGGCACCGATCAGTTGTATCGGCTAACTTTTCTCGAGAACGTAAAGTCATATGACACGGCGGATAGGGTATGGTGACCTCCGTGGCAAGTGATTTATGACCTGACTTTGCAATTAAATAAGATGAGTTTCAGAGGTAGATTGCAATTAGGTGTAGTAACAGAGCATGCTGGAAAGTCTATTAGACATGAATGGTCGACAAACTATGGAAAGCTTGTAGAAGAGTTCACGCTTGGAATACGATTAAGATTCAGCTGTAGTCGAAAGCGCAGAAGACAACATTGGGATGATAGCAGATTACGCGTTAATGTCAGAATTTTTGCCAAATATTACATAATTTCGCCGTTGCAGGTCCCAAGCCCGGTTGAGAAAGTAGGAAGATTGGAGACCATGGCGAAGTCTCGTCAAAAGTTCACCATTTGCTATTCATGGTACTGAGGCCATCGAAGATTATACCGGCTCGGTCGTCGTCCGGGTTACCAAGGGCCGCGCAGGCTGTTGGGGGACTGAGGCAGACTGCGAAAAGTCGGCGA